GGGGGTGTCAGCTTTCCAGGTGATTTTGATGGACACTAAAGCTTGAAAAACATAGATCTATGGTAAATTTATAAACAAATACAATGGTTTAAAAGCACATAACTCAAGAGAATTTTTACCTCTGGGGAAAAGGGGTTTGGGGGACCACACAGAAAACCTTAAATATACATGGGGCCTTTTATTTTGCCAGGTATTGTTCTAGACAGCTTTCATACTCAATTATCTTAAAAACCCAATAAGTAAGTACTCATTTTTTTAAGTGAGAAAATGAAGGTGCAGACATTTAGGTGTTTTTTGTCCATGATTCCACAGCTTAAGATTCTATGCTTCTGTCCATGATTTCCACGGTTAAGACTACATAAGCGAAGAGTTAACTACCTCCAGGGTCCAAGTTCCTAAGCACTAAGTTATACTTCCTTTCTAGTCCTAGGAATGTTCTATTTCTCAAATTGAGTAGGGTATACAAACACAGATTATTTATATCTTACACATATACTGTATTATAGATGTCTCATATATAAGAAATATTTCACATAAATATAAACATACTTTTACAAATACCAAAATAAAAACTATAATTGGAAGGAAACCCGTTGCTCAAACTTCACTGGAACCCCCAAGGCTGGCAGTGGGAGAGAACCCTGAGGGTGCAGCTGGACCTCTCAGAGCCCGACCTTGAATCCCTGCATTTGAACGTTCGTGGTTGGAGAATCACACCAATCTTGGCTGCAATCTCCCCTCCGACCTCAGAAGGCGCTGTCCTCGTCCTCACTGCACTTGGGGGTTAGGACCAACTTTCAGTTAGGGCTCGAGAATGAAGGAAAGTCTCTAGATGACAGTGGCTTCCGGTGCCCATTGGCCCTAAAAGATAAACGCCAGGCATCGTGCTCGAGGTGCCTGAACGTGCCTTATCCGACTTGAGCTCGCAGTTCCATTTCTAGAAGTGAATTTGAAGCTCAGAACGAGTTCACAACTTATCCTAAATCATACAGCCAACTAGCGTTGGGACTTGAACTAGGTCCTCTGAGCTCTCGAGTGCTCGAGGCTGCCTCTCGAGAGACCGGGACAGGGTCCTAGAACACCTACCAACCTCAGAGAGAGACTATCTTCCTCCACGGGGCCCTTGAACCAGGAATCTCTTGACTCCCGTCGCCCTGGCTAAAGACTACCAGATTCTGAAGGTACTGGATCTTGGCTCCCACTTGGGTGTCCTCCGAGAGGGACAAACAGACTCGAGAAAAGCGGACAGGGCCAGGCCGGGACAGGACGGGTTCAGCCAGTTCCACCTCGGCTGCGCAGCACCAGGACTACCCACCTAGCACGAGGATACGGTCTTCGGGCCGCAGCTCCGGCTCTAGGAGTGCACGGAAGGAGGAGAAGTCCCCGAACCACTCGTAAGGGGCAGAGTCAGCCGCATTCCGGTAGCGCTGGTCCCAGTACTGGACCTCACGGTACCAGCAGTTCTGCTCTGGTATCTCGGGCGGGGGTGCTGGGGCCCCTGGAGATGCCATGCCTGCAGCTGCAGAACCGCCAGGACACACAGCCCGCACCTCTAGACTGGGCTTGGCGCCCCTATGTAGCCAATCAGGATGGTAGCATTCAGGGGGCGTGGCCCTTGTGTCTCCGCCCACCACCTGCAGTTGCTCAACATAAACACGTGGAACTTCCGTTCTCTAGTAAGCGCTCTTTGAAGAATACTCCGGGTAGGAAAAATTACAAGGTTCAGAACTTGAATCTTCCAACTGCACTGCGCCCTCACTTCTGAGAGCCAAACTCATACTAGTATCAGACTCACTCGGCTCATCACGGCTTCTTTCATTTCAGTTTGTCCGGCTCCTTCAATTAAGAAGTCTGAAAGTGGATGAAAGATTCATTTCTATCCAGTTTTGAGCACCCTAAAGGCTCACAGAGGAGGCGGGAGGGGCGCGGACACAGGTCTTGTTCTCCAGGAGAGACTGGCATGAAACACAGACGAAGTGTGATGCCAAGTGGGGGAGGACACGAACAGGAATGTTGCTTTTCTGTTGCATCTATTTTAGCACCTGTGTGCCCAGAATCAAGTATGTACGGAGGAGTGAGATTGTTCCTGCACAAATGGAATGTGAAGTCCATCAGGAAAGAGGTGGAAGAAGTAAATTTTAGTGGAGTAAATAGGACACTGGAAACTGGTTAGCTATCAGTCGGTTGGGATGGCAGGCGTGGGGAGCGGAACCTAAGTGCAGAAGGGTTGGGCTTCCGGGGTGGCGGGCCAATACGAGCGACGCACCGTCAAGATGGCGGCAGGCCTACGGAAACGCGGCCGGGGAGGTCCCTTAGCTCGAACGGCGGGATCCTGCGGACAATGGCTGCGGCGCGCCTGGCAAGAGCGGCGCCTGCTGCTGCTGGAGCCGCGCTACACGCTGCTGGTGGCCGCCTGCCTCTGCCTGGCGGAGGTGGGCATCACCTTCTGGGTCATTCACAGGGTGGCATGTGAGTGCGCCGAGGAGGAGGGGAGGGGAGGGAGAGGGACCCGAACCCCCTACTTAAACTGGGATCCAGATTCGGAGCTGAAATCTAGCCCTCCAATCCAAGCAGTCTTCAATTGCAGACCGTAATTTTTACCCAGGTGCCAAGCCTGCTCCACAGAAAACCAAACCCTTTCTTAATCCCTCCCCCATGATGCGAAGGGGCAACCCTAGAGATTGGCCCTCTGCCCTGAACATACAACCTGCCAGGTTAAGAAAATAAACCAGCCTAGAAATCAATCAAAGACTTGGGTCCGAGTTAATGTACTGCTGCTCCTTCATGCCTCTGTGGTTTTGGACATGTCCCTTCCCCTGTGGGGTCTCAATTTTCTCATCTGTTCACTTCTGAAGTCTCAAAAGTCGTTTGTCAATAATGGCACTCTGTGACCACTTGAGTCCTTTTGGTCTTATTGGGGGCTCCTTTCCAGGCTGAATCTAGATACTGGGCTGAATGAAACCTTTCTTGCTAAAGATGATTAATTCAGCACATATTTATTGAATGTTTATTACATGCTTAACACTACTAGGTGCCAAGGGTACAGTGGTGGAAAACGTAGACACATTCCCTATTTAGATGTGTGAGCTTGGACAAAAGTGAGTTAGTAGAAAATTACAGTGCATCATACTCCATATAGTAGTAAGGGTACCATAAAGGACACAAAAGGGCACTTACATCAGACTTGAGTTAAGGAAGGCTTTCTAGAGTCCCCCTTGAAAGGTTAAGAGCTAGCCAGTTGAGGAAATAGAGAAAAGGGGAGGAGAAAGAGCACTCTAGGCAGGCAGAGCCCTGTAACTAAAACGTTCAGTCAAAAGAGAGTCGGCTTCCTTTGAGAAACTGAATGTTTGTAGAGCTGGAATAGATAGAAATCAAGTTCAGGTGGTAGTGAGAGAGGAGATTGCAGAAGTTGAGACCAGATCCTGAAGCAGTCTGTAAGTTGTGTTAAGGAGATAATTAGCATGGTGGTTAAGAATTTAGGACCTCATGGAGTTCTAATCTCATTTCTACCCTTCCTAGCTCACTGATCTTGAACGAGTCACTTAACCTCATTAATTCATAGGTTCCTCTTCTAAAAATGGGAATAATAGAGTTTGGTCTTTATTTTAAGAGCCTTGAGGAATCATCGAAGGGTTTTAAGCAGAGAGATCTAACATGATTTCTATTATCGGAAGCACTTTCTGGTTGCAGGTTGGGAAATATGTTGTGGGGTGAAAGTGGAAGCTGGGAAACGAATTACGAAGTTGTTGCATCATTGAGGCTAGAAATTGTGTTCGGTCCAAATTTGAATATGTAATAACAGAAGAGGATGAGATAGTAGAGTCATGTAGGATGAAGAATAGGCAGGATTTGGTGATTGGGTGTTGGAAATAAGAAAGAAGGAAGTGTCAGATGTTACCCAGGTTTGTGACCTAGGCGTCTGGGCGGTTGATGGTACCATTCATGGAACCTAGAAAGGGGAGCAGATTTGGAGTGGATGGTTGTGTTCAATTACAGACAAGTTGCAGATGCTTGGGTTCACCCAGAGAATGTCAGATAGGCGGTTAGATAAGAGTTGTGATAGAAGTCCCGGGAATGAGCTGGAACTCTGTGTTTTGTTTTGTTTTTAAAATTTTTTAATTGTTTATTTATTTTTTGAGAAAGAGTGCAAGCTGGGGAGGGGTAAAGAGCAGGAGACACAGAATCCGAAGCAGGCTCCAGGCTCCGAGCTGTCAGCACAGAGCCCGACACGGGGCTCGAACTCACGAACCGCGAGATCATGACCTGAGCTGAAGTTGGATGCTCAACTGACTGAGCCACCCAGGCGCCCCTGGGACTCTGTTTTGATGGGTGGATGTGTGTGGGGGGGCAGACAAGTTCTGAACTTAGAAGTAACCACACCATTTCTGTCCTTTTCCAGATACAGAGATTGACTGGAAGGCCTACATGGCCCAGGTGGAGGGCGTCATCAATGGCACCTATGACTATACCCAACTGCAGGGTGACACTGGACCTCTTGTGTGAGTGGGGATAGCAGGTTCAGTGAGGACATGAGGGGCCGACTGGATACCAGGCTGAATAGCCTGAACCAGACTCCTCTTTCAGGTACCCAGCTGGCTTTGTGTACATCTTTATGGGGCTGTATTACGCCACTGGCAGGGGCACTGACATCCGCATGGCCCAGCACATCTTTGCTGTGCTCTACCTGGCCACCTTGCTGCTTGTCTTCTTGATCTACCACCAGACCTGCAAGGTGAGTCCATGCTACCAGGAACAGGCGGCCCCAGCTGGCTGTGCTGGGGAGTCGGGATGGCTCAGGGTTGGTGAGCTGACCTTGTTCTCCATTGTCTCACTTCTCAGGTACCTCCCTTCGTCTTTTTCTTCATGTGCTGTGCCTCTTACCGTGTCCACTCCATCTTTGTGCTGCGACTCTTCAATGACCCAGTGGCCATGGCGCTGCTCTTCCTCAGTATCAACCTCTTGCTGGCCCAGCGCTGGGGCTGGGGCTGCTGCTGTTTCAGGTCACCACCCCTTCCTTCTCCCTGCTCTCTTACTCTGTATTTCCATCATTTCCTCCCCCAGTTTTCTGCAGCGGAGGGAGTAAGGGAGTAACCAGACAATATATGGGTCAGTCAGGGTCCCACTAGACAAGTCTAGGATCTGTAGAAAGTCTCCGCCCCACCCCTCAAGAACATATACCCTGTTCCTAGCCTCTGTTCCCTCTAGACAGCATCTGTTGTTGGAGTTGTCCCTTGCACATTCTGAATACTGTAAATATGTATTTGCTGGCTCAGTCTGGTCATAGAGGCTTGATATCTGCTCCTTACCCTCAGTCTTCTCCCAGGCTGGTTTATCCTTTTTCCAGCAGTTTTAAGGGTGGACCCCATCCCAGAGCTTAGTGGCAGGGGAGGGGAGGAGTTGCTATGTGTGTGTGGGTGGGATACATGGCCTTGGAGCTGATCTCCACCCTTCCTCCCCCCTCCCTACCCTAGCCTGGCAGTCTCTGTGAAGATGAACGTGCTACTCTTCGCCCCTGGGTTACTATTTCTTCTCCTCATGCAATTTGGCTTCCGTGGAGCCCTCCCCAAGCTGGGCATCTGTGCTGTCCTTCAGGTACCCCTTCCACCCCTTCCCCTTTCTAATGAAGAGGAGGCCATTCTCTGGCCTTCTTCCATCGTTGAGACTTCCTCAGAGCTAACAGACAGGGTTTTGGAGTTGATTTTGGACTAGGCAACCGTTACCTCTGGGCTTTACTTTTATTAGCTATAAAATAAGGGTGTTGAACTATATGGTTTCTGAGGGTCTCTCTCATTCTGCCCATTTATGACTTGGTGAATCTAAATTTAAAGCACTGTTATTACCTGCCTTCTCAGCTTCTTTGGCCCCAGACTCTGGTCTCGATGAGGAGGCTGGCTTTCCTGCTATTCCTGGTGGGAATTTGAGAACCTCTGAGACCTACACCCTCTGTCCACTCCCCTTGGTGATTAGCATGAAGGCTGGACTTGAGCCTGGGCAGCTCTGCTGACATCACACATATCCTCAGGTTGTGCTGGGCCTGCCCTTCCTTCTGGAGAACCCCATTGGCTACCTGTCCCGCTCCTTTGACCTTGGCCGCCAGTTTCTCTTCCGCTGGACAGTAAACTGGCGCTTCCTGCCTGAGGCCCTCTTCTTGCATCGTGCCTTCCACCTGGCATTGTTGGCCGCCCACCTCACCCTGCTCTTGCTCTTTGCCCTTTGCAAGTGGCACAGGTGAGAAAGGGGAGCAGTGTCACGGGTCAGGTTGGGGCAAGGAGTATAGGGCCTGCTTGGGGGAGACGTGAAGTTCATGGGGGGTGAATCTAGAGTTTGGCCTAGGATGGGGGCTTGATAAATGTTTGAATGGCTTCTCCCCAGGACGGGGGAAAGTATCCTGTCGCTGTTGAAGGATCCCTCCAAAAGGAAGGTTCCACCACAGCCCCTCACACCCAATCATATCCTTTAAATCATGGGAAGGTAAGTCTTGCCCTCTCCAGGTACAGTTGGGGTCCTGATCTGTTAGCCCTGGTGCCTGGTGACCTGGGGGAGGGAAAGGAGGTGCCAGTAATAGCCGCAGGCCCTGTTCATGGAGGAGAGCACTTTACATATTTAAGTGTATTTTATTCTTAATCTTAAATATTATTTGATTTACCATTATGAGTACTCACTCTGCCTGGTGTGCTAAGAGATTTACATACATTCTAACATGTAAAGCTCACAAGAGACTCTGAAATAGGGAGGGTTTTGTTTGTTTGTTTTATTCTTATTTTAGAGATGACAAAATCAGGGCATTGAGGAGTTTAGGTAATTTACCTAGGTCACACAGCTTGTAAGTGATGGATTTAAACTCCCTGGGCCTTATGGCCCCGGTATTACTGTCTCCACATTAGATTGAGGCACAGGTCTGGAGAAGTTAAAAAATTCGTCCAGAAGTATGCATCTCGGAATGGCAGAGCCAGGGGGCTATCTGACCCCAAAACCTTTGCTCCTTTGCTTTGGAACCTCCCTCTCCCCTCCTCCCCTCCCCCCCCCATCCCAATTCCTGCCCCTTCTGCTCCTGCCCTTGGCCTTGACCACTGCATACAGATCATCTCTACCCTCTTCACCTCCAACTTCATTGGCATCTGCTTCAGCCGCTCCCTCCACTACCAGTTCTACGTCTGGTATTTCCACACACTGCCCTACCTCCTGTGGGCCACGCCTGCACGCTGGCTTACACATCTGCTCAGGTACTGGCTGGGACACCCTGGGCGAGTGGGAAGGGCTAGGGAGTTCCTCGTCGCAAGGCTGACTGTGGAGAGTTGGGAGCGAGCTACGGGGCTGCAGGTCTAGAAACTGGGCAAAACCTGAGCTTTTTTCTCCTCTCCAGGTTGCTGGTGCTGGGCCTCATTGAGCTCTCCTGGAACACATACCCCTCCACATCCTGCAGCTCTGCCGCCCTGCACATATGCCATGCTGTCATCCTGCTGCAGCTCTGGCTGGGCCCCCAGCCGTTCCCCAGGAGCATCCAGCACAGCAAGAAAGCCCACTGAGATCCACTTCCCTTCCCCTCCAGTCCACTCTTAGGACCCTGGATGGGGATAGACTCTATGCCTTTCCCAATAAACCTTACCAAGCCCACTGCTGTGCAGCCTACATGGAGGTGCCTACACCAAGCCGTGAGGGGCATGCACACTGCAGATGAAGAACTCACTTGGGCAGTCTTAAGAGGCACTTTATTGCATAGGGTGTGGGGACTGTGGCTCTCTACCCTTCCACCGCACTGCACAGAGCTCAGAGGGGAAGAGGCATGGGATGGGAGGAGTGGGAGAGAGCACAGGCAGGCACTTTCTGTGAGGGCAGGGGGGTTCTGGGAAGGGGATGAGAAGCAGTAGGGGTCAGGTGGATACCGGCCTGCCCCTCCCAGTACCGAGAAGCCGGCCCCGGTGGCAGTGACTTGAGTGTGTTGGGCAGCGCCAGCCAGAGCAGTGGGCAGCCCTCACATGTTTGCGGGGCTGTAGCACAGCAGGTGTAGCTGCAGGTTCTGGTCCCAGTGGCGCAGCAGCAGGAAGAGACCCCGGGCTGCAGCTTTGAGGGCAGCTAGGTCAAGGCCATCAGGTAGGTGCTGGGCCCGTAGCCAACAGTCAGCTTTAGCTGCTGCCAGTTCCCACTCGCTGAAGGCAGCAGCGCAGCGGTGCTCCAGCCAGGCGAGCGCCACGGCGGTGGCCCAGGTCCGGCCCCGCAGGTCCGCACCTCCGGGCCCTTCTGCGCCCTCTGAGGCCTCAGTGTCTGAACCCCGTCCGCTGTCCACCTGGCCTGGACCCTCAGAGCCTGAGCTGGGGGACGGGCTGCAGGAGGCCGTGGCACTGTCACCCTGGCCAACACCAGGCCCCAGAAGTGCCCAGGGAGAGGAGGCCGAGGTGGGGCTGAGGCTGGCGCGGTGCGCAGCAAAGGGCGAAGCGCGGCACAGGCGCTCCCGAGGGATGTGTACTGCTGCACAGAAGGGTGCGTCTAGGCGGAAGGAGCCAGGTGCCTCCTGCAGCCGCACCTGAGGAGAGAGGAGGTGGGGGGAGAAGTGAGCTGAGACAGTGCCCTGGCCCTGGCAGCACCACCCTCCACCTCCCGAGTCCTCACCAAGGGCAAGTAGTCGTGGTCGCTGCCTTTACTGTTGCTGTCGCCAGCCTGGCCCCGGTTGGTGCTGCAGAGTCTGTGGCTGTCAGAGCCTCTGGCCCTCCCACCGCCCAGGCTGAGCCTAGAGGGAGGCTGGGGGGGCAGGCTATGAGGACTTCTGGTGACTGACTTGGAGTTGCCATTTTGGTCTGGGTTCCAGCCACCTACCACAGAGCCTCCCTGAAGTCCTGCAATGGAGCCGGTCAGTGCCAGTGGTAGTCCCTAAGCCTCGTAGCTCCCTGCCCTTGCCCCAACTTTGAGTGTTACCTTTAGCGTGGACAGCTGTAGGCAGAGGAGTTGCATCTAGTTGGCCTTGAGAGGCAGAAGTGCTTGGGGGCTCAGCTAGCTCTGTAAGGGCATAGGAGATGGGGGTAAACCAGGAGGGGGGCCAGCGAAGTGAGGGCCAGCACCTGAGAGGTCACCCAGGAGGGACTCTACCTGAGCTCCGCACCTGCAGGGCTGAGGGTAGGACCTCCCTGGTGGTAGCATCCACAGCTACGGGGCAGGTGAAGCAGGAAGGGGCAGAGCTGACCTTGCTCGTCTGAAGGGCTCGGAGCCAGGACCTCCGGGCATGGCCTGTGAAAGCAAGGAGCTGGATGCTGAACGGGAGCAGCTGCACTTCCCCCAGCCCCCTCCTACAGGGGGCTTTAGAGAAAAATCCCAGTGTTTCCCCATTGCTTCTCCCTCTGTCCACTTTTGAACAGAGTAGAGTTCCTTCTTGGGGCCAGGTCAGACTCCCCAACTTTGGCAAGTGGTTAGGCTGAACCCTCAGCTCCTAGCAGGACTGGACCCTCCGGCCACCCAGAAATTGAACATTCTGTACAGCACCCAAAGGAAGCACTGACTGTGGTGCCTTTCCTGTCCACTCATTCAGCACTGCCCAATAGAACTTCCTGCAGTGAAGGTAGGGTTCTAGATCTGCGTGATCCAGTATGGCAGCCACTAGTCACATGAGAGTGTTAAGCACTTGAAGTGTGGCTAGTGCAACTGAAAAACTGAAATTTTAACTATTTGATGTTAATATTCTTCCTGAATGGCAGATTTGTTTTTATGTTATGGGCACTGTGAGTCATTAACAAGATCACATTTCGCTCTGTGCTGGCTGCTAGGAAGCTTGCCAATTTGGGGACCCATGCTCACAAGGGCACAGAACGTCATCGAGTGCATCTTTAATATAATCTGATTCTCCACTTTCTTTTATTATTCCATTACCCTGTTTATTATTATTATTTTTGAGGTGAGTGGGCCACCTCAAATTGTGAACAAGATGAGGTATATAGTGACCAGACACATAGACCTATACCTCTGTCACTCGCTGCCCCATACAGGCTCCTTGGGTCCTGCCCAGGCCCACCAGCAACTCACCTTGGTCAGCCATGGCCTCAGCCCCTCCACGGAGAGCCAGCTGCTCATTGTCCCGGACCACGGAGGCTGCTGTCAGCCGATGGAGTGCTTGGTCCCAAGCACTTTCTCTTTGAGGGGGTGACGGAGGCAGTGAGCCATCACTAGGTCCCCATAGTGTCTCTAGCCCAACACCCACCTCCCAGCACATAGGCTGCTCCCCACACAGGGCTCGGATCACCACGTGGCAGCGTGGAGCCTGAGGAGGCAGTTCCACTGCTGGAGAGGCTGATTCCCCATTGTGGGGCATAGCTGTGAATAAGAAGGGGGGTTCCATCAGCATGTCCCAGTCCATGGGGGCCGGGGAGAGTAGATTTCCTGGAGAGAGACAGCAATGAAGGCAGGGGAGGGGTGGTACCCTCTGCCCTACTCAGGACCTCCTTGGTGTCAGAACCCAGCTCCCCATCCAACCCTTACCTGAGTCATCCAGGCCCTGTCCCAGCTGCTGCCCTGACTCAGGGCCTGGCCCATCTGGTGCTATGCCCAGAGAGGGGTGGCGGGGACGGCCAGGGACTGGGTTCACCTGGCCTGGGGGAGATGAGAGGCTCCGGCCAGCCAGAGCTGCTCTGCGTCGACGACCCAGCACCTCAGCACTCAAGGCCCCAGGCTGCACATAAGAAGTGTGGTCCACTGGTCAAGGAATGCAGAGCTCCTGGCCATCACACATGCATGGCCACGTACCCCTTTGTCTGAAACTGTGGATGGCTGCTCGCCACCCTTAGGAGCAAGGCCAAACTCAAGGCCTCCGGCCCCCTTCCCAGTGCCATCTCCCTCCATGCCTGATTTCTCACTTGAGGTTGTTTGTCTCTGTTTTTGTTCATGTCTTCTTCCTCTTTGCCTGGCTAACTTCTACTTATTCTTCCAGACGTGACTCTTGCTTTCCTGACTCCCTCAAACAGTGTTAGCCATCTTGATTCTGACTCTCCCCATAATACTATGTCCCTGTGTTCACCACTGTATGTCACATGGTATCATTGTAGATTTACCCATGTATCTCTTCAGCTGGACTTAATAGTAACCACGGCACAATTTATGGCATATAGCAATGGTCAATGAATGTTTGCTGGGTACATAGAATGGAGGTGGACTGACTCTCACCTTGACTGGAGCCATTGGGGGTAGAGGCAGGGGGCAGGAGTGGGAGCCTGCAGGTTCTCCCCAGGCCAGGCTGCGGCAGCCCTGCTGAGAAGGGGGATGCAGGGGAGCAGTGCCCTCAGGGGAGCCAGGGCCCTGGGAACCAGGGGACTCGCTGCTGCCTGTGGAGGCTGGACCTGGCTCTGGGCTGGCAGAGCAGTGAGTGAGCACATACTGCTCCCGGATGTACGATGACTGGAAGATGCGGCGCCATATGGCTGTGTCAGAGGAGGGATTGGGTCCAGGGTCTGTGACTGGGTCTGTCAAAGCATCAGTACCTGCTGGGAGGCAAGAGAATGGATCCCAGCCGTGGCCCCTCCCATGGCCCACTCCTCCTCCAACACAGCCACACACTACACCCAGGTACTCACTCTGCTCTGAGTCCCCAGCAGCCCACGGGCTGGACAGCTCTGCTGACACAGTGCCCGTTCCTAACGGCTCCGAGGTGCCAGTGGGCTCAGTGCCAGGACTGGTGGCAGATGGTGCCTCCTCTGGGGATGGGAACACGGAGCCTCCCAAGCTCTGCCAGCCGGGTTCTTGGCCCTAGAGAGGGATAATCATTAGAGAAAAAAACCGACTGTAGTTATATGCTACCTCTTTCCAAACAGGATTTAAGATGTCTCACCACAAAAGGCAATAAAGTTAATAAACCAGAAATGAAAACCTAGTACTAAGGAAGGAAAAGTATACATGCTAACCATAAGGTTAATAGAGCTGCTGTGGCTGAGCTTCAGGCTTGGCCCTGAGCTTCCTGGCAGGCAGGCAAAAGGGCAAACACTCCATTATATTGCATCTTTAGTTCTTTTAGAGAAAGAAAGCTTTTCATAATAAAAATAACTATCATTTCAGGGTGCCTGGCTGGCTCAGTCAGTAGAGCATGTGACTCTTGATCTCAAGGCTGTGAGTTCAGCCCCACGTTGGGCGTGGAGCCTACTTTAGAGAACCAGCAACAACAATCATTTCTTGAACTCCTGCTATGTGTCAAGTATCCTTCCAAGAGAGTGCACGTTGTGACCTCTAATTACAACAACCCTATGACAAAAATCAGTATGACGAAATGGGCTCAGAGAGGTTAAGTGACTTGCCCAAAATCAAATGGTTAGAACATGCTAGAGGTGGGATCTGAGATTTCATCTAGACTATGCTCTGTCTGTTTCTGAATGTTACAGGAAATAATCCAGGTGGTTCTTTCCTTAGGGCACTGTGTGAAGAACCTAGAAAGTTTCAACAAAACCTTCACGGCAAATTCTAGAGCTGCTTTCCGTGGCTGTGTGCTTTAGCGACCTTTGGTAAAAGCCAAGGGCAACACTTTATGGGACAATTCAGTGGAAGACCTCATGAAGGGGGCAGACTACAGCCGCTTTGGGGTGCCCGGTGTGATCTCTGGGGAAGCCGAGAGTGCAGTGGAAGAGCTTGGCAGGGAGAGGCACCAGGAGTGGAAGAAGAGTTTTGAAGAGATGCAGGGACTTTAGATATCCCAGGTCTACCACCCGCACCCCAGCCCAGGCCTACCCCTGGGGCACGGGACCGGAAGCCATCCACCCTGAAGAGCGAGCAGTAACCGAGCAGCTGGTCCCCAGGGTAGAGTGCTGGGATCTCCCGGGGGGTCAGCAGTGCCTCCACCGCATCAGGCACAAACCAGTCCACAGAGATGTCACTCAAAGCAGGCTCCAGTGCCTTCCGGAGAGCCTGCACCAGCTGTAAGGAGTGGCCAGAAGGAAGACATGGGAGAGAGAGCTCACAGAGCAGGAGGCCCACAGAGCAGGAAGGCTACCCTTCCACTGATGCCATCTGCCCAGCCCTTAGGCTGAGGGGAGCAGGGTCAGGCTGGGGTCAAGGGAAGGATTGGGGGTAGGAACAAGCAAGGGTTTGGTCTGTCTCCTGGCCTGAGCCATGCCCTGTGGATGAGGCAAGATTCGTTGAGGATATGGCTCAGTACCAGGACAAAACAGAATGAGATTTGGGGGGTGGTCAGAGGTCATGGCCCCCACACCTTTGGCCTCCTGCAGCATGCTATAGCGTCACCAGCAGCTCCTCCCCTGATTGGCATCTCAAAGGAGGGGAGGAACTGGAATGGGGGAGGAGAAGTCCTGATCGAGGGTGCCAGGAGACCCCATGACTTGACTGGGTTCTGTTTCAGGCTCAGTGTAACTCAGGAGAAGGACTTCTAGGAGTAGGGAACAGGGCTCAGGCTCAAGCTCACCATGGGCTGCAGCCTCTCCCCAGGCCTTGGGAAGTAGGCCTGGCCCCTGCTGAGGGCAGACAGCCCCTGGAGCAGCTGGTGGCAGGCAGGCCCCAGCCCAAAGGAGAAGCACCTGATGAGGGAAGGGAAGCAGCTGTGACCTTCAGGAGCCCCTTGGGAGTGGGGGGTCAATCTTAGGCATCTAGTTCAGCCCACCCCATACCTGGCTGCCCCCCTGTGCCACCTCATGAGCTCCAGGGTTTGATGGGTAGCAGCGGCCACGGGCGAGGCAGCAGTCAGGAGGAAGAGCTGCCGAGGGCGGGCCTTGTGCTGGGGCTGCCCCATGGCCCAGTTCAGTGCAGCCAGCACATCTGGGGGACCACTCTCAGCCTGCAGGGTCTCAATGTTCTCACAGATCAGCTGCACAGTGTCCTGGAAAGAAAAGGCATGCTTTGGGCCGCGCCAGGCTGATATACTCTCACTGGGCCCCAATCCCTGGACCGTACTCACATCACTGCAAGGCCGGCTCTCTGGGAAGAGGGGCCGCACCGACGTGCCAAACATGGCCAGGTTGATGAGCGTTTGTGGTGGCAGTGACTTCACAGCCAAAACAATGGCATCCTGGGGAGGGCCAGGGAGGACAGCATGAAACAGGTCCTGTGGGCAGTGGTAGGGATTCCAGATTGCCCGCCTTTTCCATGCTGTGTGAAAATGAGGGGCTAGAAGTGGTGGTGTGGGAGAGGCCCTGCATGTCTGAGATTGACTATGAGGGAGACCTGGAGTGTGAGGGAGACTGAGTGTGTGAGAGACCCTGGTGGGGTATGGGAACCCTTGGTTTTGGGATTAGGTAACTTCATGTGCGAGAGAGGCTTTTGGAATCTGGGAGAGACACATGTACGTACAAGTAAGAGAGGGATGTGTATGTGTGTGTGTGTGTGTGTGTGTGTGTGTGTGTGT